GTTTCTCAAACAAAAAAAGCCACAGGGTCTGGACGTTTTTGGTCCCTATGGGACTCCGAAGCTTGCATCTGAGACACCCAATGGATTACAGTATTACCTGTTCTGCATCAAGTGGGGGGGGGGGGCGTAATCGTGGTTCATGTTAGACTCCAAGCTCCCAGCCAGGTGAGGAGAGGGAACGTAACCTTACCGGCTGGAGGTGGTAACTTAATTCCTGCGGTGAAAAGCAGGCCACCCTTCAATTTCTCATTGGAAGCGGATGGGCTTGGCACAATGCTGCCCCAGCACCCGATACGCCGTAATGCCTTTGGAGACGGGCTTCGGTAAAATGATCCAGCAGAGTTTGTGCCTTTTTTCCCCCCCTTGGCTGAGAACCCCCGGTGTTACTTCACCAAGAAGAACAAGGTCAAAGAAGAGAATCTAGGCCGTAAAATATATATATATACATGCACACACCAGTCTTAATACAGACTTTCCGGTAAGTTTTTGCCTTTATGATATTTTATCACTTTTCAAAACGGTCCAAGCGGATGGCCTTGCTTCCTACCTGGAGATGCCGGGGGTTGAGTTTAAGTTTTGTCTTGTATGGTGGAGGGGAGTTCCTCTGGAGAAACGTGAGAATCTAAGGGAGGAGAGAGGGAGGGAAAAATACTTTTCCTCGTCCTAAATTACACACCCCCCAAAGTGGCATAATAGTAGGGTTATATTTGGCAAAGAAAGTTCATTTCTAATTAGACTGCATGGGACTGACAAGGCGAAGCCAGTAGGCTCCAGAGAGAGAAAAAAGCAGAGGGATCCGGGATCTTGTATTCTCACCCTGGGAGAAGGGGTGATGTTGATGATGGGTCCCTCAGAGGATTTGCAAAGGGCTGGGTGGGTTTTGATCTCTGGCGGATAAAAGGGAAGGAAGGTGGCTATGAGCAGCCGGGTGTAAGGTTCCCCTTGACAATTTTTGTCCAGTCGTGTTCGACTCTAGGGGGCGGTGCTCATCCCTGTTTCCAAGCCATAGAGCCAGCGTTTTGGTCCGAAGACAATCTTCCGTGGTCACATGGCCAGTGCGACTTAGACACGGAACGCTGTTACCTTCCCACCGAAGTGGTCCCTATTTATCTACTTGCATTTGCATGCTTTCGAACCGCTAGGTTGGCGGGAGCTGAGACAAGCAACGGGCGCTCACTCCGTCGCGTGGATTCGATCTTACGACTGCTTGGTCTTCTGACCCTGCAGCACAGGCTTCTGCGGTTTAGCCCACAGCGCCACCACGTCCCTTCCTGCAGTCGGGTGTAGCTAATGATAAATGATATTTTATTTAGGGCTGCCGACAGGTTGAATCCGCAGCTGCTTCAGCTGACCTTGCACTGAATCCAAGCCTAGGCAGACTTGATCCAAGAAAAACCTGACAATTTCTCTTTTTAGAGCAACCGCTTATTCATGCGGACTAGAACCTTGGTTTAGTAGCAAGTTGCAACTTTGGTTTCCTTGGGGGCAATGAATCCCCTTGGGTTTATCCTTACATTTATGGGAGCTCTCCGAGGTGCTGAATCTTTGACCTCTCACCAAAAAGCCAAAACCAATTCGGCTGCACTCAACGCTTTGCTCATGAGGACTAGAGCTTTTGTTTGCCTGTAAAGAAACGGATGCTGCTCTGCCAGGGGATGTAAATGTAATCTGAGAAGGTGATCCCATTTTGGCACCCGGCATTTCCATATAGGGTGGGAGGAAACCCCAGAAAGCTACCGATATAGGGCTGAATGGCCCTATGGTTAGACTTGATATAAGCCATCTCTGGGTGCTTTTATGACATCCATTCTCACCTTTTGAGTCTTGGATCTCGGCTTTGGGGGTCCAAGTGTGAACTCCACCTTTGAAACGATGAATGAGCGAGCCGTTTTGTGGTTTGTCGGTTGCAGAAAAATAAAGTCACCGAAGCGGACATGAAGCGCCTGAAGGCAAGGTTTAAGACGTCTGAGGTGAGTAAGAACCACATCGCTCACTCTCTCAGGACCAAATTTCTAAAATTATATATATTTAAACCCCCTCCAAGCGAAACTCAAATCAGGCCAAATGGGGTGGAAGCAGGAACCCAGGCTGTTTTTTTTTTAAGTAGTACAGTATTATTATTTTTTGAGAGCTTCACCCTAAGATCTTGGTCTTTGATGCTTGGAGGCCTTCCAGAAAATATAAAGCATCACAAATTCTCCCTCTGGCCATTTCTGCTGCTCCCTGATGTCTGAGCCCATCCTCCCCTGCCTGGCAGAGAGTGATGAGAATTGTAGTCATTTGCCACTGGAACACTGCACCACTGGAACCAGAGCCCTGAACGGTCAAAATACAGTGGTGCCTGACATAGTGACATTAATCGGTGTAGCAAAAATCACTGCTAAGCGATTTCATCACTATGCGATTTTAAAAACCCACAGGAATGCATTGAAACCCCTTCAATGCATTCCTATGGGCTTAAAACTGACCTTTAAGTGAAGACCCTCCATATGGCGGCCATTTTCGCTGCCCGGTTAGCGAGGAATCCATCCCTAAACACAGCGGGCAGCCATTTTGGAACCACCAATCAGCTGGGGAAAAATCATCACCTTGCAATAATCGGTAAGCGAAACAGGGTACCGATCATCACAAAGCGATTTTTCCCCATTTAAAACATTGCAATGCGATCGCAAAAAGTTCGTCGGTATGTGATTTCGTCATTAAATGGGGCACCCGTTAAGCAAGGCACCACTGTACCCTGTTTTACATCAGCAATCCATCCTATTATATACCAAGTGGCATTTCTGTGATCACCTGATCTACCCAACCCAGGTTTGTTTGTTTGTTTATTATTGTATTTATTTTGCTTTATTGCTGCTTCACACCCACCCCACAACTTTGGGGGCATAAAAAGGTTTTCCTCCTTTCTGATTTCTCTCTGCTTACAACCCCCTCCTGCAAGTTAGGTCAGGTGGAGAACACTGAAACCAGGACACTTCATCCCTCAAGGGAATCTAAAATTTGGCATGCTGAACTAACTAACTAACTAACTGACTGACTGACTGACTGACTGACTGACTGACTGACTGACTGACTGACTGACTGACTGACTGACTGACTAAATAAATAAATAAATAAATAAAGTTTTCCCAGTAAGAGAAAAGAGGGCCAGGTTGTGGGAAGTAGGCAGAGAGAAGAGCTCATGGTCAAATCCTTTCAGTGTTTCGTAATTAATCCCGGAGCGGACAGGCTTGGCTCAGGTCCCCTGGCATACAGACCTGAGCAAACCCTTCTCCGGGGGTGGGGGGAAGGGCAGTGGTGATGAGTGGCTGGAGGGGGAATCTAATTGCCCATCCTCCCCCCCACCCCATTTCTTTTCCTAAGAGACGGGAAGGTAGAAAGAGGGAACCTCTGAGCATACAGAAACAGAGAGGTGGAAAGAGAGACATGAGGGGGGGTGCCTTAAAGCCGCCTGCTCTGACCTTGATCTCTCCCCCCCCCCAATCTCTAATCTCAGGGATGACAAACCGGCAGAGAGAGAGAGAGATGGAGAGCTGTCTGATGGGGTTTTAACTGGTGTTTCCAATATCTTTCCATTTTTTGAAAACAATATTTATCTCTTCCCTTCTTTAAAATTCCCCCTTGCCTTCTTTCGGATGGCACGTGCTCAGGGATAACTTTACGAGGTTGGGACGGGAAGCCATGGGCTCTTCCTCGGTCGTTCCTTCCCATTCTTTTTCTTCATTATTCTCGAACGTGAATGCCCAACGCTTTTTCAGCCCGATGCACTTGAACCCCATAGGCTGAGAAGCAGCTGTAAGTGGCCTCTGAGCATGTACAGAGTGTTAATGTTTGAGTTAGTGCCATACTCTTGTCGTGAAACAGCCCGGATTCCAGGCATTACAACTGCCAAATGAAATGGTTTCACGACTATTTATTGTTACAGTTACTATTTATCCTTGCACACTAATTAGCCATAATAGCTCAGGAAAGCAAGACTCATCTTTCCATCCTTTTTTCTCTTGATCCATCACCATCATCCTCATCTTCACGGAACAATTCCTAATTAATAAAAATGCTGGGAAAAGCTTGATTCTCCCTAGCCTTCGTTATCTTTTGGAAGTCTCGCTCCTTATTAAGGAGATGCCCCTGGAGCATTTATTATTTGTTTGTGTAATTATTTGGGTTTTTTTAAATTCATAGGCTGCCTTTCTCCTGATAAGGGGACCCAAAGCAGCTTACATTATTAAAAGGAACAGAATTAAAAACAGAGTAAGTTAAACATTTATAAAACCCCACAATTCAACTGTATAATTAAAACACAGTCCAGTCATCAAAAGCAAGTCAATGTTAAAAAACTATCTTAACTCTAAGAAGGCATTTAGGGGCCAAGACTCAAATTCTATGGGATTTCTTGGTATCAAGAATTCCATAGGGTCAGCCACTCGTGGCCCTCGGAAGGGGCCCGGACAGCCATGCTCACATCGGCCCTCATCATCCCTGCTTGCATTGAAGAATGCTGGGGCTTGTAGTCCTAAGTACCTCTGGAGGAAGAGGCTCTGATTCGGATTAATGAAGCCCCCCTGAATAACTCAAGTTTGGAAAACTTCCTTTATATATATATAAAAAAAACCCCACCACCACCAGAAATCGCTCATTAAGCAGGAGCAGCCTCTGGGAATTGTCATTTTTTTTTTTTAAAAAAAGAGATGCTTTCTTAATCTCTCCCCCAAAATGTGGTTTAGAGGCCTCCTTTCCTCAAAAAATCTCTCCCCCAAAATGTGGTTTAGAGGCATCCTTTGCCCCCCAAAAAAATATATGAGGAAGGGGTGTCTGGACCCCATTCCTCGCTCCATCCATCCACCATCTCCTTCCTTCCTTCCTTCGTCCCTTATGAGGAAGGGGTGTCTGGACCCCATTCCTCGCTCCATCCATCCACCATCAGCTCCTTCCTTCCTTCCTTCGTCCCCGCCATTCTCCTTTCCACCCCTAGAGGGAGCCAGGCTCCCCCCCTCGGGCCGGTCCTGATGCTGCAGCTTGGTTACAGAGCCGTCGTCCTCCCCATCAGGAGCATCAGCATCCTTCCTCTCGCCCCCATCCTCCTCTTCCTCCCTCTCGGCCAGAAGGACTAGTGGTCGGATGGATGGCGACCCGGTACTTCCTGGGAGGAGCCATGAAACAGATCTGCTTCTGTGCGGCCTCCTCTTTCACGGTATGTGTGGTCCACATCACCCCCTTTCTCTGAATCCTCAGCATCCTCCTTTCTAGCGGCTCCACCTCTCCCACCTCCCCCTTCCTCCTCGCTAGAACGGCACCGTCTTCTTCTCCCCGAAACCTCCTTCTGGAAGGGCACCCCTTTCTGTCTCTCTCTCCCACCCTCTTCCCACCGGAACCAAGGCTTAAGGGCTTACTGTCATTGTGTCTTGCAGGAAAAAAAATAAGGGACGTCCTTTCCCCCTCTCGTTGCTTTCCGGAGCCCTGCCTTTAAGGAGATCAGGCGTCGGAGGGGAGGAAAGGGTTTTTTTTTTTTTGGCAGTCTGTATATGCTCAGAGGCCAGCAGCTGCCTCCATCTGGTCGTTTACTGTACCCCTAAAGCCACGAGAAAGAAAGAAAAAAAGATGGGGGGAAGGAAGGGAAAAGGAGCGAGGTGAATTTTCTTGCTGGCCCCCATCCTGAAAAAGCATTTAGGGCTACAGATTGTAGACCCACCACAAGGAAGGGACATGGACTAGGAGGGAGGGGGTCAAACCCCCCAAATTTGGGAGGTCCCCCAGCCCCATCCTGAACCATTTTCGATGTACAAAATGACCTTTAGTTGCTCCTTGGGTCTAAAGTTCTTTTTTTTTTTTCATTGCTCGCGGTGGGATTAATTAATCCAGTAATCAATACATTAATATTTGTGCTGCGGTTCTCTTAGATGCTTCATTATCTTCATGGCTGTTCCTGCCCTTCCTGGCCGCATTATCCGGATGGCACGCCGTGAGGCATGCTATTAAATGCTTTAAATGCTGCATGATATTTGCCTTATGATTGCCGTGTCCTGGCGCGGTTACTGCTCCGGACGGTCACAACTGCAGTAAATGCTCCATAATAATCAATTAGCAACTAATAACGGACTGCTAATGAAAAACCTGAAGCTCATGGATTGCAATTGATCGGCAGCATTCTGCTAAAAATGGATAATGCTTGCATCCCCCCCCCCTTTTATTCCCTCAATATTCCTTCTTTCCTCCTTGTGGTTGGCTCTCACAACCCCCTTGTGAGATAGGCCCGTTGGGGGGGGGGCGGTGAGAGAACGTGAGAATGCAGGATCTAAAACCCTCAGAACGGCTCATGGCTGGATCTGAACCCGGATCCTCCTTCCTTCCCCTCTGAATTCTTCTCAGAATATGGCTTTTAAAAAAAAAACAACAACAACTACTACCTATCCCATAATGCCCCACACAGGCTGACACTTTTTAAAATTCTGCTTTTCCCATGAGTTATCAACCTTTCAGCTTGGTGGCCTAGTTTTTTAAAAACCCCGGCTAAGGAGATTTTAAGGACACCGCCCTGGTGCTCAGAAATTTGCAATTAAAAAGCAGACTGAGGGCTTAACCCTGTGGAAAAACCATAAAGAGAGTAGATCTCTCATAAGCCCATAAATCTGCAGATTGCGCCTTAACCAGAGAGGATTTCGGAATACGCAAGCAGAATACGCTGCAATAAAATTTTGCAGTGGCTTTCCTTTTTCCCCCACCAGGGCCAACCATCCCACAGATGATTTCTTAACCCCCCCACCTCAGTTCAGTCATCCACCCCCCACACATCTCCTCGTCCTTTCTAACGGGCTTTTCATATACTCTGACGGCACTTGGGAAGGGCAAACGGGTGGCCGTAGGAAAAGAGGAGGACCAAACACGGAGTGGATTCACTCCATCAAGGAAGCCAGAATTTTGCGTTTGCAAGACCCGGGAAGGGCTGCCGATGACCGGATTTTCTGGAGGTTACTACCTTGCCTGCTAGCTTTTGCAGATCATGGCCTGCTTCCCCCCCCCCATGCCTCTCGAAAATGGGGTTGGGGTCCAGAAAAAAAGCACGCACCAGACAGCTTGGCTTAGCTTTCACAATGCCACGAAGGTCATTATAATTGTTGCTAATATCTTTGCTCACGTGCCTCCAGTCGGCTTCCAACGTAGGGTGCCCTGATAGGGTTTTCAAACACGGGAAATGCTCAAACACAAATGCGTGTGTTTCTGTGACGATCCAAGGGGAAATCTGAGTTATTCGTATTGTTATCCATTTGGTATCTAGAAAGTTTCTTCCTCTTTACACAGGCCTTTATGTATTTATTTGCTAAGTTTTGGTTTAGCTCACCAGCAGACTTTCTTCAGCCATCCTCGCCAAACGGAGCAGCCACCCTCCATCCGACCCGGATTTCTCGGCGGATGTATTTAAGGGGGAGAAAAGGGCCCTAAAGCCATGGGGTGGAAAGTGCTGATCGGCACAAAACATGGACATGTGAGCCTGTGGCACTTCAGATTCATGGTTTTTTAGGAGATGGCCAGGGAATATGACTATAATGGGAAAACCTAAGGATAATGGAGGCTGTAATATCATTGGGGGGGGGGTTTAAAGGACTACGTAAACCTATGGTCATTGGGGCCATGTAGGTGCAAACGAGCCGGTGGAATACTGCAAACGTTTCCCTGTGAAGGTTCAGTTCTCCAAGTTGGAAGGCTTTGCTCTGCTCAGGTTTTCTACAAGGGGTCCTCAGAGGTCATCTAGACCAACCCCGCGCCTTGAGACAAGCTATGGCTGTGGATAATGCAGCAGCTACCCAACCTCTCCTGGCAGGAGTCACCCCATACTCAGAAATGTGGTTTCCTTGGGTTACAATTCCCAAGACACATCCGTCACGCCTCCACCTTGATTGACCACCTCCATCGGGGCCCATAAAAGTCATTTTTCTGGGGACCAAACATGAGATGCAAAGGGACCTCTGGCCATACACAGAGCATCACACCAAAGCTGGGGAGGGATCGCGCGGAGGGAAAGCATGCCTGTGAATGCGTTGCTTCTAATTTTCTCTCTCCCCCCACCCCCCGTGGTTTGGTTCTCATCAGACTCAGGACTGGACCAAAAACGACGAGAAACTCTTGCAGGCGGTGGAATACAATGACGCCGAGCGAGTCTCCTCTCTGCTCCTCCGCAAGGGCCTGATCCCCACCAAACTGGATTCCGAAGGGAAGTCGGCGTAAGTGGCGAGCGGGGCGGAGATGGCCGGGGGCTAGAATTGGGCAATTCCCCCCCCCCGTTCTTTCCTCTCTTTCTCTCTCTCTTCTCTTCCTTCCTCTCTAGTCAAGTGTTCTGGGGCAAAAACAGCTCCTTCTTCCTAAGCGTTTTGCGCTGACCGTTTGCAAAAGGGCTTCCGAGACCCTGTTAAGAGTGAATTTGCACCCAGACCTCGTGATCTATTGCTGCAAAGCAGGGTGCCCGCATTGCCAGCAGGAAAAGGGGCACCAAACAAAGGCTAGCCTGAATGTTGAGGATGCCCATGGCCACAGTCAAGATGGTCACAGGATCCCGTCTTGTGCTCACTTCCATTCACACGGTTAACCCAGTTCTGGACTTGGTGGATGAATGAAGGACTACTGATGGTTCTAGCTAGTTGGTTAACTCAGTGAGTTAAATCCCTGACAGCGGAGCCTGAGGTTGGGAGTTCGAATCCCCCCCCCACTGGGCACCCCAGAAAAGCCAGCCTGGGTGGCCTCGGTCCAACTGCATAGCCCCACAGTGCCCCTAGAGGAAGGGAAGGGGGAAAGCACTTCTGAGTATTCTCTACCTGGGAAACTCTGAAAAAAAGGCTCACCCAGGAGTCAGAATTGACTTTGATGGCTCATCATCATCATCATCCTTATTGATTTTTCTACCCAGGTTCCACCTGGCTGCCCTGAAGGGGAATGTGGACTGCTTAGAGGTGATGCTTGCACATGGGGCGGACGCTATGACAACGGACGGATCCGGTGAGTGTAAACCCAACGGGCATTTTTGGAAAAATACACAGCATACAAACGCCCCCCCCCTTCAACCCTTTGATCATCAGCTGATGCAAAACAAAACAGGGAAAGGAAATAGCTGATAATGTTTTTCAACTACTGGCCAATCCTCCAAAGCCATTTCCCTTGGCTTTCGTCCAAATTTCTGCCGCTGCTGGAAAAAGCAAGATCAGGATTTTTCTGGCCGCGCCTCCATTTCTTCCAGCAGTAACAAAGCAAAGGGGGCCGACTCGGGTCACAGACTTTCCAGAGAGCTTGGGAGAGCTGAGATCGACAGACCCAGAGGTTGGGAGTTTGAATCCCCCGCCAGGCCGCCTTGACCGGGGCTGGACGGGATGATCCGTAGGGGTCCCTTCCAGCTCTGCTGTTCTACTAGGGTGATGATTTTTAACATTCCTGTGTGGGCGTTCTAATAGGTTGTGTGTGGGGGAGGCGCATTTCTTTCCATCAGCAATGGGAATAAATAATTTTCAAAATCAGCGACGCTACTGCGGTAGAAGGCAGAGTGGGGGAAATAAGGAGTCACTCCCCTGTCTTCTCTCAGTCACCCTGTTTCCCGCCTCTGTTGCAGGTTATGCAGCGCTACACCTATCGGCGAAGAATGGGCACCCGCAGTGTGTGAGCAAGCTCTTGCAGGTAACGCTGGATAGGACCCCGGAAGGGGGTTTGGGGCGTCTGGGAGTTTGCAGGACCGCGGGACAAAAAATGTGGCTGAATCCATCCATGGCATCTTTGCTCAGCGATCAGTCCACTGATCTTATTTCTGGATTAAGCACGATAGGGCCCTTCCCCTTGCAGAAATTTTTTCTTCCTGGATCTCGTTTTTCAGGCTTCTTGCCCCGTGGACATCGCCGACAGCCACGGGAGGACGGCCCTGCACCACGCAGGTGAGCTCTGTGGGTTCAGGTCTCCGGCTGCAGAGCCAGACGTTGGGAGTTCAAATCCCCTCCTCGTGGCGCCTCCTTGATGGGCTGGACTGGATGATCTCAGGGGTCCCTTCCAGAGGATGCAGATCTTTTTCAGTCCATTCTGGGGAAGGATGGCCTGAGCCTTGCACATCACAGAGCCCGTGGGGCTGATTTCTAACACCTGTATGGGCTTGAGATTTTAAGAAAGGTGCAAGGCTCTTTCCAGGAATTTGGCATCACCGTGGAGCAGCTGTGGCAGGCGGCCCTCTTCCCCCCCCCCAATGTTTCTGGTGGGACTCTGATTTCGCAGGGTGGTGTATCCACTCCAGGTTTGTCTCCACCTTTTGAGGGACCTCTCCAGGGTGCTGAATCCATTTCGGCCATGGGATTGAGCCACTTGGATCCCTCCCATGACACCGGGTGAAAACCTGGAGCGGATTCACTGGCCTCAGTGGCCTCGGAGCCTCCCGTAAAGTTCAGGGTAAAAGCCGGAGCGGATTCTCCACCACAGCCGCCCCCTTGCCTCCACCGCCTCTTCCTGATCCACCACCCAAGGGAAGCAAAAAAAGGCGAGCGTGGCCAGGATGAGACACTCCGGAATGACAGCCACCACGGCAAACAGATTTGTTCTCTTTTATAACTCCCCCAGCTGTCCATGGATGCATCTCTTGCCTGGAAATCCTTTGTGACTTCAAGGCTTCCTTGAACATGAAAGACCAGGTAAGCCCCATGGCGGATCCCAGCCTCGTAACGAGGCTTCACATCTCCTTGCTTCACTTTTCCACAGCAAAATTTGCAACTTTTCCTTAAGACAGGGACGTCTTCAATGGTTCAGTTCATTCCTCTTCTGTTCTCCTCCACTCTCAAACATCCCACGAGTTTTGATGTGTCCCCCAAACTTTAGATTGCATACCAATGATCTTCTCATCTTAGGTTTTTCCCTGGAAATTCTCAGCGTCTCTCTCTCTGATCCCCTTTTAAAATGTTCAGAGGTGGCACAAGGCGCTCTTTCCTTTTCCAGCTGCTCCCAGCAGGGTTTGTGTTCGAGTTTAACCTCAGTTTTGCAAGATCTGTGTGTCTCTGTATGAGTCTGTGTGCTGGTGCCAGAGAGAGCCTTTCTAAACTCAGTGACGGGAGAAGAAATATGTTAAAATCTTCCAAAATTCAAATACTTCTGTTTTCGTCTGTCACCATATACGCACGTGGGTGTTGACAGCACGTTAACACTTTCAGAGACTCCGAAGCCCATTTCCCCCAGACTCTGCATATTGGAGAGGTTTTCCCGTCCTCCTGACACCCTGCCCAATGGATTACTGTTTGCAAAATTAAAAAAAAATGAACTTCTAAGCCACAGAACAATCCCAAGGGAAGAATTATGTTTAAAGGGCAACTCTTTTTCCCCTCCACCCAGATTTTCTACAATACTATGATCGCTTCTGGGTCTTCCACAGAAAGGACCCCACTGTTAAAAGAACATTGATATAAAGGATTTGCCGAACATGGCCAAGTGACCCCCATAACCGGAGAGTTTTTATTCCAGATTTTGCTCATATGAGCTTTCTGTTGGATGCCTCCTCTCCCTCTGTAGGATGGGGCAACCCCCCTCATGCTTGCCGTAAAAATGAGCCATTCCGAACTTTGCCGGTACCTGTTGCACCGGGGAGCGGCCGTCAATGCCAGAGATCAGAAAGGCCGGTGAGTGAGAGGGGTGGGTGGGTCTTGTTTCTGAGAAAGCAGGATGATGGACTGCAGAGGGACCGAGCGTAGTCAGAGCAGTTGAAAGTTTTGCGTTCAGCTTGGGTTCAAAACCTCGCTCTACTACAAAAATTGCAGCGTGATGTGGGGACAAACAATACAGTAGGACCCCCAGGGCTGCAGGAAATTGGTTCCAACCCACCCACCCCCGCAGATACTGGGAAACGTGGATAATAGCAAACACTGTTATAATAGCCAACTTTATACATAGCACAGTCTTAGGCTCCTTCTAGGGGGCGGTTGTGGTGACGTCATCATTAGAAATATATACCGTATTTTTCCGTGTATAAGATACCCCCATGTATAAGATGCCCCCATTTTTAAATCTCTAAAATTAAGAAAGCTAAGTGGGGCTTAGCAAGTGTAGGGGGAAAGGGATCAAGGTGCTGCAGGATCGCATTGATCCCTGCTTTCCCCTCCACTTGTTTTTGTTCTCTCCTCAGCTTACTTCCATGTATAAGATGACCCTCAATTTTTAGTCTAAAGATTTTAGACAAAAGTATAGTCTTATACATTGAAAAATACGGTATTTATGGGTTTTTTCTTTTATTATTTTTAATATTTTCTGACAGTCAGTATGTGAATCAGTGGATATGGATCCCAAGGATAAGAGGGGGGCTAATGTGTAATCCTTCTTATGAAGATAAAGGGTGAGATGGAAGCCATACATTTCACCCTGAATTAATCTTAGGAATGTAGCGTATATTGTAAATGTAGAACATACAAAGGCATGGATGGATGGATGGTAGGATGATTAGACCAGTCACACTGCATTTCCCCTTCCTGTGCTATGAATCAACGTATGGGTCACAGTGATGCTATAAATACTTTAAAGTTTAAAGGGTTAAGTTTAAACCACCCATTTCGTGGATTTATTTTCCCCTCCTTAGATTAAGTCCCTTTATCTTAAGGTCTTATCTTTGATAGATTCTGGCCAATAGGGCTAGCTCTGGCCGGCAGCCTTGGATTCAGGTCTTCCACCATGAATCTTGTGTCCCCCGAGACCATTAGATCCAGGAAGGGGCGACCTTTCCGCCTCTGGGTTTCGAACCCGCCACACAGCACTTAACGGGGCCCGCTCTTGGCTTCAGCACAGCCCTCATGGTGGCCTGCGAAAACGGCAGCGTGGAGACGGTGGAGGTGCTCGTCCACGGCGGGGCACGGGTCGGTCTCGTCGACACCACGGGCCACGACGCAGCGCACTACGGGGCGGCCACTGGCAACGCCCTGATCCAGCACTACCTGCAGGAGGCGGCTCAGCGCCACTCGTGGGCCAGCGGTAAGAGATTCCCCGCCTCAGCTTCGCCTGGCCGAAAAACCCCACGGTCCACCCTTTCTAAAACCAGCCATGGAATTAACCTCCTCTTAATACCTTTGTGGTTTCTCTCTTTTCCTCCCCTTTTTGTAGAGGAAGAATCTGCCGACTGGTCCTCACAGGTACTTTTGTTCACTGCTACCCGAGGGATGGGTGGGTGTAGTGGATAGAGTGATGGGACAGAAGGCCTGGGTTCGAATCCTTGCTCAGCCACAGAAACTCACAGGGGTGTGTGTTGAACTGTTAAAGCCACTCCTTAAAATATCCCATCAGCCTGGAAAGCCCTTATTTGAGTCACTCTAAGTTGGTTCCATCTTGTGCTGGATAACTCAAGGGGTCGAGGTTGGGAGATCGAATCCCCCACCGAGCAAGGGCTGGACTGGATGATCCTTCGGGGTCCCTTCCAGCTTTGCTGTTCCAAGCTGATTATTCCCACTGGAGACGAAAGGGGGACTGATAGATTCGTTGCTTTGAAGCGATCAGAACAACAAATCCCATGGCTGGAGTTGACAACATGCCAGCAGTCAAGATGGTCTCTCAGCTGTGGAACCAGAGGTTGGGAGTTCGAATCCTCTGACTGGGCCTCCTTAGCAGGGGATGGACTGGATGACCCATAGGGTCCCTCCAACAGGGTCCCTTCCAACTCTGCCATTCTAAGAGGACGAGGAGGAGGAGGATTACTGCTATTACTATTATCAAGAATACATTTTCAACCTACTACCATGTCCTGCCTAATCATCTCTGTGCAAAATAGTCCAATTCACTCATCTAAGCAAAATGTCCTGCCTAATCATCTCTGTGCAAAATTGTCCAATTCACTCATCCAATTACTCCTTCCTTTCTTCCTTCCTTTCTTCCTTTCTTTCTTTCTTTCTTCCTTCCTTCCTTTCTTTTTTATTTTTCAGGCCTCCACCCCAACTCAGTCTCTCTCCAGAGGAAGGAACAACAGCCCCCGGAAAAGGAAGGCGCCCCCTCCACCTTCAAGTACCCCCAACCAGGTTGGAAGGAGACCCAGTGGTGGCTGGAGGGGAAACTCATAAATGGGACATTTTCTCCATTTAGCTTTAAACGCCAAAAGGCTCAAATGACATCCAGCCTTTCATACGTTACTTGTTTATTTATGTCGTGGCTTTCTTGGGGTGCCGAGGAGAAGCACCTCACAAAAGGATTAAAAAGAAACGAGAGGAGCCCAGAGCATAAGCCATTGAGCAAGAAAGCATAATTAAATGTATTTCGGGGCACGCAGTGTGCTGTAGCGGGTAGAGCCATGGACCAGGATGCAGGAGGGCTGGGTTCAAATACACTCCTTCTTTG